TTGTACTGTTGTAAATAGAACTAAGTGCATTAGCCTTATTCACCATTCTTTTTAGGTACATAATAAGGTGAAGATTTCTCATGGCCTAACCCAGGCCCCTAATCTTCCCTTGTCTGACAAAAACCTCTGAGAAAGGAAATTTATATATAAATTTTTATAATTATATAAATATAATTTTAAAACAAAAGTGTTATGCTTTTCTATTAGGAAAGCAAAAATACCCTTTCATAAAAACAACGCACATAATAATACTCTTAAATAGACAATATATATTACACTCAAAGAAATAAATGCAACCCAAACTCCCTCACCTAACCTTTATTTCAAACTTCAGGATCTAATGAGGCATAATGATACAAAGGGAAAAAGGCATAAACAGTCCAGATAAAAGCACTGAATTATTTGTCCAAATATAATAGATAATAAGAAACATAGACAGCTTCACTTCTACTGTTGCTGTATGTTTTCCACTTTCTCACCCACCTAAATCACCCACCAAACAAACATGTCAGCAAAAGACCCAAAAACCTGTTCATATGTCCCTTCGACCCAGTTTCTGGTCAAATACTGCCTGACCAAAAAGTCAATTCCCTATAAAATGAAGGCAGCAGAAGTATCTTTCTGTTCCAAATAAATAAGAAAATGCTTTTTAAAGTCATATATGTTATAGCTGAAGCGCAAAAAATAGAAATTTTCAATTCTGTATGAATTCAATGTTGTGTTCAGATCAGAGAATAGGGAGAAAATTAAGTGTGGATTCTAGAAAGCAACAGCTTCAGAGATGTAGAAACTGTACTTATGTAAGAAATAGTGGTTCCTGTCCACAAGCATAAAACTGCATTTACAAAAAGGATACAAGAAAACGCCAAACAATTGTAACACACAGCCCTCACAATGTGCCAGACACATAAAAAGCACAACTCTTTACACACTGACTCATTTAATATTCACAATGACTGTATGTAGGGCTTTCTGAAGGTGCCCTTTTGAACCCACCAGCCTCCAAGAGCACCAGCAACCATGGACAGTCATACTCAACACTATCCCCTTGTAAGTGAGGAAAAACAAACCTTAAGATCCAAGACAGAAATAAAAACTTCGGATATCTTACCTCAGGGGATCCCAACTGAAAAAAAGAAAAGGACAATGTGTTCCAGAGCACAGGAAAGAGCTCAGATCATTAATCTGACAAGAATAATTCAATGAAGTGACTGGCAGTATACCAAGTGGCAGAATAAGGCTGAGGTTGACCTGCCTTTATATCTCAAAAGCAATTCACTGCTATTTTGACCCTCTTAGTGAGAAGCAATCATTTCATCATCAAGCAAATAAAATTAGTTGTACTTCCTTATCAGCTTGAAGCAAAATTAATGACAAGTTCACTTCCAAATTCCCTAATCAATAAGTTTACCTCTTAATAACTCATAAAGCCCCTCAGAGCTAAACCTCTGGCAAGACAAATTTGTGTCACACATGGTCTCTAGGCAGTGCAAGAGACACAGTAAGATCCTGCTGGTTGTAGGAAGGCTACTAATAATAGCAACACTAGGAACAGTAGTAATAGAAGCAATGGAACAGCATCTGTTGTTAACCTACTATGTGACCACCACTGAAAAATCATTCAAATTCACAGAAGATGAGGTAGGTTATATTTTTTATCCCCTGAAGGAAATGAGTCTTAAGGAGGTTTGGTAATATCCAATGTCACAGAGCTACTAATTGGTGGCCTGGGAACTTCAACCAAGCCAGTTAATAACAAACTCTGCACTTTTAACAACAGACTACTTGAGGTTTCAGATTGTTGCTCACAATTTTTTCTCATCTGTGACTTCTTCAGTTGAAATAGTTTTCAAACTGTCCTTGGCCTGTGGGATAAGGGACACTGTCTAAGTGATAACAAAATATGTATACACAAGACACTAAGAAAATTTGATAACAGCAATGATATGACCACCAAAGTAGGGCAGAAAAGGATAGACGAATGAAGAATAGTGAGAGATTCGTAATTATTGAAACTAGGGGATGAGAATAAGAGGGCCCACTACTTATTCTGTGTTCTAAGTTTAAATTTTTCATAATAAAAAGTTTTAAAATGGCCTTGACTTAATGGCAGCTTATTGAGTCATTTCCTTTCATTTGTTTTACTTGCTCATACATATATATGATTTAAATTCAAAATGTTATAAAAGGTATACACTAAGTAGTCTCATTCCCAATAATTATCCTTCTTGTGTTTCATAGAGATATTCTTATTTCTCTCCATTCCTTTCATAAAAGGTAGCATATTATGTATCACTGTTGTTTCCCACCTTGTTTTATTCACTTAATCAAGTAGTTGGGTGATTTGTTCCATCTCAGTGTATAGTGAGTTTTTCATTCTCCTTACAGCTACTGAGTATCCTACAACATGGATATCTCATATGCCATACTTAACAGAACTCCAAGTTGTGTCTGATCTTTTGCTATCACAAACGATACTCAGACAAATCAAACATACACAGGGATAGCTGGGGACAGATTCCTAGCAGTGAGGTGGTTGCCACAGTATATGACTAGTTAGTTTGACAACTATCCCTCAAAAAAAAAAAAAAAGATCCTGACTGTTGTATCTGCAGATTCCCATGGTGAAAATACTCCCATCCTGGCTGACCTCAGGCAATCAACATGACATCACTGAATGTGGAACTGAGAAGAACTGCATACCAGTCTTCAACGAACTATCTCATACCCCAGTTAGTTACTGAGACAAAGGGTAAATGCACCTCTTGTTTCCTCTCCACTGTGGATGTAACTCTTTGCACTACTACCAATGTACTAAAATGCCTATCATCTGAAGGCTCACCAACAGAATACTGTTAAACTTTTGGATTTGTGGTTGATAGTATCTCAATGTAGTTTTGATCTGCATTTTTCTGTTTATGAGTGAGTTTGAACATCTTTTCCCCTCTATTAAGGGCCACTTTCATTTTGTGTTAAATAAACTTTCTCATCCATTTGCTGGTTATATCAAAGATTTCACACATTTAATTATTGGCAGCAACTCTATAAGCAAGGGTAGATGCAGGTTTCATGGGACATGAACCTTACACAATATGAACACTCTTTAAACAGATAATACAAAATTATGCACCTCTTTAAAATTAAAAAAGTTTATAATTCTTTGGCTTTTTAAGGATTCAGCCTCTTTCTTCAAGAATCCTTTTAGACAATTTAACAGAAATGCTTACAATGTTGCAAGATGGCTTTCCCTGTCCAACTAGAACACTCTGCCACTCTCAGAAACACACTGTACCCCTCAGGCACCTGAATTTAAAGTTTCAGTGGCTTCAGGGGAAATCAGGGTCTCCCTGAAAGGCAGGCATTATCACTACCACCTCACAGATGATGAAACTGAGGCTTAACAATGCAACAAGCCATAAATCACAAAGGAAATGTCAAATCAGGATTCCAAAGCATTTGTTCTTAGAGTGCTTCCCAGTGTTTTTAAACCAACTATCGTAATTCAACAAATCTACCTTGGAAAAAACACTGGATTTCAAACAAATCCTCAGTCTCCACTTGTATTTTCAAAACATGTCTTCCCTCCTTTTAAAAAAAAAAACCAAGACTCCCTTCAGTGTGCCTAACTAAATACAAAGGCTAAGGACAGCATCTTGCTTGAACTTCTGCCCAAGGCTTCCTCTGAAAAGGGTCACTGACACTGAGAAAGGGGCAAACAGGGAGTCAAGGAGATGACTCAGCTGAGGGTGTAGCTCAAAAATGGAGCCACACACAAGGCCCTGGGATAGATTCCCCACCACTGCCAAAAAAGAAAAGAGATAGAGAGAGAGATGAGAGTTGATTCAAAGCTTAGCCTTTGTGTCAGGAGTTTGTTTTCTGATGAACTCTTCCATTTCTATTAACTCCAGATCCTCGGCTTTGTCTAGAAACAAAACTGGGACAATGGACTATGATCAAGTTTGGTCTTATAACTAGATATGTCAAGATCCCAATCTTTCTTAGAAGACAGTATTCTTCCACCTCAATTCAAAAAGAAGCTGATACCCAAAGGCTCTTTTCAGAGCCACCCCCCACCAAAAAGAAGAAGCCCATTAGGCTAATTACTCATTTGAAGAAATTCCAACATTCTTAGTAACAGAAGTCAGATCAGTGATTTTCACCAAGGATGTGCTAGGAAAGGCTGCTAATAATATTTAATGCCTGAAAGCCAGAGGATGAACACCCCGTAATACCAGAACAGTCCAATATAGGAAAGGACTGTCCAGCCAAACATACCAAAAGCACACCCACCTAGAAACGGTGGTAGCTGAAAGGATGGTTGAGACAGATGTGTGAGGACATAGGGTAAGACAAGAGTTTAATATGGACATGACTGCATTTATCCCAGGCCTTTCAGGTTACTCTGATAACTTGAAATAAAAAAAAGAGAGGCTCCAAACAACAAAACATGTTCACCTGATGCATACACTCACACCATTTACTGCAGCCCTGGCCACCAGCTCTCAAGAAAAACCATGTTGGGTCTGGTTCAGATTTAAGAACAAAATAAGCCCTAGATTTTAAAAGTTCATACCTCTTAAATGAGCTCTTCAGAAATAAAAGGTTTTCAAATTAATATAAACAATGTTTTAAACTTTCAAACTCATCCAAAATTTTTTCAAAATGACTTTTCTTGCATTTATATAAATATCACCATTATTCAATCTACGAGGTTAAAAACCTTTTCAGGTGGAAAATAGTAAAATTGAATGTAAAATCATTATCAAAAGGTTCTGTACTCAAATAGCATTATTTGAAGATCTGACAAAGATTTATCAAAACAGCAGAACACATACTATACTTCAGACCCAAACATGTTATTAATGTCTTGTAGAACAGGGCAGTCCAGATACACATTCTTAAAAGAGATTACATGCATTTATTCATCTCATAGGAACAATTCATGAAACCCATAACACTTCTATAAGCAAATAAAGACTTTTTATCATTATCCATTTTACCTGCTATTTGTACCGAACCATCCTCACCCAGAAGAATATTACCAGCTTTCAAATCCCTATTAGAAAAAAAAAATAGGGAGTAAATTGTAGCGTACAGACATTATATTATATTGACTCACTCAGGAAGATTCAAAAATATATAAGGCAGCTGTTTGACATAATTATTACTTTACAAATATTTAAATTATATCACAGATTTTTAAAGTTGCAAGGATACACTTATCTTTTCATACTTTGCTCCTGGGGCCCAGTTAGGATTTTAGTAACAAATATTTTATGTGAAACCATTATCCATATTTAATTAAATCACTGCTAAGTAGACTACTTAGACTATGGTTTTGAGTTGGAGACTGTCCCTAAACTTACAATATTGTCATTTTATCAAGAATTAAAGCTTCATCTAAGTAAAACTATCCTACTTCCCCTTGAATTTGTTTGTGGTACTATTCCAAATAATCCCATAGCCCTCTTAACAATGAATTTGATCAACCTCTCCTCTAGGAAGATACCAATGATGAATATTAATAAGAAAGTTTCATATGGTATTTCTTCATTATATAGAAGCTGTGCAGAGCAATTTTAATACTTAAAGAAAAACAGCAATTTATAAGTTTGATTTCTAACATAATGTTTTTTCCAATTGTTGAAAAAATATAGTAGAAACTACTAAAGATACAGGTCATTTACAGTTCAGGGTGAAAGAACAGCATTATTGCTATTACTGGTAAACGGGGTTCGCTTGCAAAAATTTGTAAGAGCTCAAGTAATACTAACCTTTTTGAAACATCAAGCACTCATATTCTATACTGCTTGGTTATTTAAAGAAATAGCATTCTATGTTACAAAAGAGGAAATTAGTGCATCCTCCTTCCCTTTCACCATCAAGTCAAAACTAATTAATATATTGTAATGCCTATAACAGCCTTGCCTGTATTAGAAAGCTGGAGGTTCTATCCAGTTCAATTGAGCACACTTAAAAAGTAATTATGCTAACTAATTTGTTAATGAGTTCACTCAGCACTTAATATTCAACTCTATGTCCCTGAAAGCAGATAAACTAATTCCAAAGACACCAATACAATTCATCAAAGTTTATTCTTGTTTCTTTGGTCTGATTTGGTTTTTATTGGTGCTAGGGATCAAACCTAGGGCTTCCCTAAGCACAGGGTCTACCATTGAGCTACACTCCCAGCCTAGTACTTTTTTCCCAGCCTAAGTTAGAAATAATATCAACACCTATCTGCACCATGTGCTTCCTTAAAATGACTTACAAACTAGATCTAAACGTATGAAGAGCTGAATTCTTTAGATATCATACCTGTGAATCTGACCATTTCTGTGTAGGTAGTCTAAGCCTTCCAAAACCTCTTTAAGAATTGTTGCTATTATTGCCTCTTCCAGAACTCCATTCTTGTGCTCTCCTCGGTTGACAATGTATTTGATGATATCCAACATTGAGCCTAAGTGGACAAACAGAAGAAATGAAAATGTAATTTTGTAAGTTCCTCCATTCCATTTGCAGATGAGGACTCACTCTACTAAATGAGAACATCAAAATAGAGTTTTTGTTTACTTAATGCAAAAATATTCCCAAGGCATACAAACGCTTGAATGGTAGCTGAATAATCAGAAACACTAAATCTAAGATTACAAAAGCACTTCCACTGTGAATTTAAGAGTAAGGAAATATAGGTTAGGGTGTAGTTCAGTGGTAAAGAGTGTGCTTAGCAAGTACAAGGCTGTGATGGTTAATCATGACTGTCAACTTGATTGAATTAAGAGATGCCTAGGGGATTGGTAGACACACTTCCAAGTATGTCTGTAAGGATGTTTCCAAAGACAAGTGACAGTAACTGAGAGCTCAGAGCAGCACCATCTGATAGGCTGGGCGCCCAGCTGGAATAAAAGTAGAAAAAGGAGGAAGCTAGCCAGCACATGCAACGCCACTCTTTCCGAGAAAGTGTAGCTACTGCTGCTGCCATTGTCCATGGACATCAGACTCTAGTTTCTTTCGCCTTTCAGGGTGTACTCACACCAGCAGCTCTCCGGGGAGCTTCCAGACCTTCGACTTTGATCTAGGACTGTATCATTGGTCTGCCTCATTTTCAGCATCTTGGACTGAGCAGTAACAGAGTTCTCTGGCTCTCTAGTATGCAGAGACAGCTATTGTTGGACTATCCAGCCTCCAACGGTGTAAACCAATTCCAAATTCCTTTATGTATATATGGAGAACCTATTGGTTTCTGTTCCTCTAGAGAGCCCTGACTAATACAAAGGCTCTGGGTTGAATCCTCACCACATTAAAAAAAAAAAAGCTAGATATGGTATCCCATGCCTGTAGATCCAGCTACCCAAAAGACTGAGAAAAAAAACACTTTCATCCAGGAGTTCAAGACCAAGCTGGGCAAAACAGTGAGGCCACATCCTAAAGATAAAAACTAAAAAGTGTCAGAACTGGAAGATTGCTCAGGGCCACTTCTTATACGTACAATTAGGTACAAATTCCAAAGAGTGTTCAAGATGGCTGAACTGACAAAGAAAGGAGTAAAAGGCCAGAGGAAAGACAGCAGTGAACTACTGAGAGACAGAACAATATCTAAAACATAGGTGGGAGGTGAGAGGTATGATGACTCTAAGACCTCTACTAATAACCAAAAGTTTCCTTTCTGTGACTCTAGGCAATCTTTATTTTCATCTAATTGATGATTCATGTGCTGACATTTATATATAATACATACATACCTAGTACTTTGTTACTATATACAGATTGGTATCATTGGCACTGTAAATTCATGTTTCAACACATATTAATTAATATTCCAAACCTCTTGGTCATTTAGAAGTCATAATTACCTGGGGATTCAACATTTCTTAAGAGTTAACAAATGGCTTACCTCAGGACGTGAACTTGGCTCTAGGTGCTCTATGACTAAGAGGACTAAGTTTCTCCATCAGATACTACTATACCAGACTAGCTGCCTACCCCTCATTAGGAGAGTCAGTGTGATAAAACATTATAGAAAAAGTAAATGCATATTTTCCTCCTTAGAGAGAAAAAAGCTTCCTTTATATGCTGACCCTTGGATCTGTGGGGTTACTCAGAAAACAAAATTCAAAAAATTTTTTTTTCTTATAAGGATACATCTTACTAGGCATGTATGCATTTCTGGAGTGGTGAAAGAAAAATGAACAAGAGCTCCTATCTGCCCACATCCCCTACCTGTGGAAACCTGTTAAAAACTATTCCTCTTACCTAAAGCCCCAGGTGGCTGGATTGGACTCTTTTAAATAGACAATGAATTTCCTATCAGGAAAGTAGACATGGCATTTTGAATATATAAATGTAAAAGGTTAACTGAGGTTTTCTTCAACTTGAATAAGTATCTGAGGCTATTCAGGGTCTGGATCACCAGAATTTCCCATTTCTTAGAGGTGATTAAACCCAAAAGAAGAGAATCAAGTTAAAAGATCATCTTGTTGGCAAGAGAAAGAAACAAAATGGATACAAGTAGGAAATGAAGAAATCAAACTATCCTGTTTGCAGATGACATGATCCTACGTCTAAAAGACCCTAAACACTCTACTATAAAACTCTGGGATCTGATAAATACTTTCATCAAAGATGCAGGATACAAAATTAGCATAAAAAAATCAGTAGCTTTCCTACATACTAACAATGAACTCAGTGAAAAAGAAGAAAGGAAAATAATCCCATTCACAACAGACTCAAAAATAAAATACCTAGGCATAAACTTAACTAAAAATGTTAAGGAACTTTATAACAAAAACTATAAAGTACTGGCAAAAGAAATTGTGTAAGACACTAGAAAATAGAAAGAACTTCCATGTTTATGGATCAGCAGAATTAATATTGTTAAAGTGACCATACTACCAAAAGCAATGTACAAATTTAATACAATTCCCATCAACATGCTAGTGATGATCTCTAAAGAAATAGAAAAATCAATCCTAAAATTCATATGGAAACACAAAAGAGCAGTCAAAGCTAGCCTGAGCAAGAAAAACAATGCTGGCAGTATCACAATACCTGATTTTAAACTATACAACATAGCCAAAAACAAACATGGGACTGGCATAAAAACAGACACATCACCAATGGCACATAAAACAAAAGACCCAAAAATAAGCCCAAGTAGGTGCTGCCATCTGATTCTTGACAAAGGTGTCAAAAATTTACATTGGAAAAAAGACAGTCTCTTTAACAAGTGGTGCTGGGAAAACTGGATATTCACATACAGAAGACTGACACTAAATCCCTATCTCTCACCTTGTACCAAAATCAATTCAAAATGGATCAAAGACCTTCATTTAAGACCTAAAACTTTGAAGCTACTAGAGTAAAACATAGGGGAATCACTTAAAGATGCAGGCATAGGCAAGGACTTTCTGAATAGGACTCCAATAGCTCAGGAAATAATAGCAAAATTGACACCACCAAATAGGATGGTGTCAAGTTAAAAAGCTTCTGCACAGTATAAGAAACAGCCAACAGAGTGAAGAGATGGCCTACAGTATTAGAGAAAATCTTTCTCTAATCCTACAGGGGATTAATATTCACAATATATAAATAACTCAAAAAATTCAGTAACAAAAAAGCAAACAAGCCAATCAATACAGTGGGCAATAGAACTGAACATTTTTAAATGAAGAAGTACAAATGGCCAATAGTACATGAAAAACTGTTCAACATCCTTAGCGATTAGGGAGCTATAAATCAAACGACACTGAAGGGCTGGCAGAGTGGCTCAGGTGGTAGAGCACTTACCTAATAAGGACAAGGCTCTGAGTTCAATCCCCAGTACTGCCAAAAAAAAAAAAAAAAGAAAATTCTACATTCAGATCCTTCTCACCCCAATCAGAATGGCTATCATCCCTATCAAGAACACATTAAATAAACAAATGCTGGCCAGGGGTGCAAGGAAGGAACTCTTATTATTGCTAATAAAGAAATCAGTATACAGATTCCTCAAAAAATTAAAAATAGAACTTCCATAAGATACAGCCATACCATTCCTGGGTATACATCTAAGAGTCGAAGTCAGCTTGCTACAGAGATACCTGTACACTTAGGTTTATCATGGCATTATTCACAACAGACAAACTATGGAATCAGTCTAGATGTCCATCAATGGATGAATGGATAAAGAAAATGTAGTATATACATACTTTGGAGTTTTACTTAGCCATTAAGAGGAATGAAATTATGTTTGCTTAAAAATGGATGGAATGAGAGATCACCATGGTAAGTGAAATAAGCCAGTCCACAAAGGCAAATATTGTATGTTTTCTCTTTTTGAGGAAGTTAGGGGAAAAGAAAACCAACAATCACCACCAAAAACAAGGTCATGAAAAAAACGAAAAAAAAAAGGGTGTTACTAAGGAGGCAAGAGTGGACGGGAAAGGAAGTAGACAAGAGGGAAATAAGAAAAAGCAACAGAAGGAACAAATACAATTGACCTACACTATATGCATGTAAGGAAATGAAACGATAAAACTTTTCACTCTGTACAATTTAATTTATGCTAAATAAAAAAGATTGTCTTGTTGACAAAGCATGATCCTCTACAGAAGAAAAGGCCAGCCTAGCCCTCAATGCTACAGTCCATCTCTGCAGGCTTCCTTTTCCTTTTTAATGAGAAAGCAAACCAGGCACTCAAGGAAACAAAGAATACTAGGACAGAGGACTGGAAAGGAAACAGAGCTAAGTTCTCCAGGCTCCCTCCTGAGACCTACATACTAGACTCAAGACAATTACAATGCCTTCGTCATCTAATTTCTGGTCCTCTGCTTGATCTGAGAGCTTCTTTAAAAAAAAAAAAAAAGAAAGAAAAGAAAATATGTCCCTGATTTAGCCTTAGCTAGAACTTGGGTCTGAACTTAAATGGGCTCAATAATATGAACTCACCTATACCAGTTTTGTCCAGGCACCACAGAATGTTCTCCTCTATTCCTAAACCATTGCTCATGTCTCAGAACCATACCAGGGAGTGATGCATTAGAAAGACAACACAGGAAAGATGTGGGTATGCTAAGAAAACCACTGGGTTTTCTAAGCTTCAACATTTGGGTCCATAAAATGAAGGTGATGATATTTGCAGTGTAGCACAACTTTTAAGTCGACAGGTCCTCCAGTCACAAACTCCGGCACTAACAGTTACTATGTGTGTGACGCTGGGCAGGTTGCTTTAACTCCCTTGAACTTTGGCATAGTTTCTGAAAAAAGGAGATGTCCATTGGGAGATGTTGTTAAGAGTGAATGAGATGCAGTCACTGAACTGCCTTGAACAGGATCTAACCAAAGAGTAAGTGTTTGATAAAGTTAATGGTTATCATTCTTATTCCATCTCTGATTGTAATGTTAAAAGAGTTTTAAAAATTAAATACATGGATGGGGAAGACCCTTGTTTAATTTCAATTACTCTGTCCATTACTGACAAAAGTTGAGAGATCAGAAGCTAGAGAGGGGAAGTTACTTTCCCTTTCTAAGTGCAACAGGATGAGAATATCAACACTGCAAGTAAATAATTTCAGTTGACGTTTCTCTCTATGTCAACTGAAACAATATATATTGAGTACCTATCGGTATAGCTTCATTTTCCTACCGTGTTAGTCTGGACTAAACTATGACAGTGTTATCTACGCAGGACTTCTCAGAGCCTTTAACACTGCTTTGACTCTTAAAGAGTCCCAACATTCCCTGGGACTCTTAAGAGTGAGACGCAATATCTGGAGGTTCACTGAGATACAGTATTTGGTGCTTCACAAGTTTATTTTACTTCGCCTGCCCTACCCACTTCCTTTTTTCTAGAGGGAGTATCTGCCATGGAAGATTGTCATATCTTGAAAATGCTGCTCTATAAAGGAAAAAATGTATTTAAAGACATAAAATGACAAAGCTTTGGAGTAAAACAAATGGAAACTTTTAATAAAGCACAGTTTGCTATAGTTTCAAGCTCATACTGGTTTAGATTTGCTGTTTCAAAATGAGTCCAAGTGTAGCAGACAGTTCTTTTTTCATGAACAAAGAACTTAAGTCTATATTGTCCAATATCATAGCCACTGGCCACCTATGGTGATTTAAATATGAGTGAAGTAAAACTGAACAGAAACTCAGTCCCTCAGTCACATGAAGTACAGCTGCATCTCATGTAAGCAAGAGTCTAGAACACTTCCTTCATCACAGAAAGTTCTAACAGCACTAAAATGGTTCTGAACATTCCAATGTGCTAAGAACTTGAATAATGGTTTAAAAAAAAAAAAGGAGTTTAAAAAGGAGGGGCTAGACTGGGGATGCAACTTAATGGAACGCACTTGCCTGGCAGGTGTGAGATCCTAGGTTCCACCCCACTACCAGAAAAGAAGACAAAAAGAAGGGAAAAATTGGCTAATGTTTTTGAAGGCAGTAAGCGGTGACTGCACAGAGATAGTGATTATTTAGGGCTTGGACACATAAAAAAAGGAAGGAGAGGCAGCTTTTTTTCTGTCTATTTTTTTAACTTATTTTTATTATTGCTGTACTGGGGATACACTGTGACAGTTACAAAAGTTCTTACAATATATCATAACTGAATTCAGCTCCTCCATCATTCTTCTTTATCCCCACTACCCTTATTCTGGAATAGTTTCAAAAGGTCTCATTTTTCCATTTTACATCGAGTACATAAATTTTTCCCATATTCACCTACTTACCCCTTTCCTTATAACTTCCCCCTCCCACTGGTATCCACTCCCCAGACAAGACTGTTTTGCCCTCCTGTTTTCTATTTTTGTAAAAAAAAAAATGACATTTTTGTTTGTTTAAGATAGCTGTACAGGGAGTTTCATTGTGACATTACCATGCATACATGTATTATAACCTGAATTGGTTCATCCCTCTATTTTTCTCCTTTCTACTGAATTTTTTTCATTTTTGTTTTATTTTGGAAGGAGGGCATTTTAAGGCTGACAACAGGTTACAGGACAGGGCCGGAGGCATCAGAGCACATAAGATATTTAGGGCTTCTAGACTAACCTAGAGGTTGGGGAATTTAATACAGGGAGAAGGGGGAGACAGATATTCCAGGAAGTTAAGCCCAATTATGAAAGGCTTTCGAATAATAGTATCATAAATCAATATCACAAATTCTGTTCTCTAGGCAAAGAGCAAACCAAAAGCAAACATTCAAACCCAGGAGTAAGGGGATAAATCTACAATATTTTCAATACACTGGCTCTCACAAAAGGGGTGGAGGAAGAGAAACACAAGCCAATAATGACAAAACCCACTTACCTCCACTTAGTAATTTCATGACCAGCCAAAGTTCATCTTTTACCACAAAAGAGGTATAATAGGTCACTACATTGGGGTGGCTGCACTGACTCATGGCTTGAATTTCCTTCTGCAAAAAGAATAAAACATGACATAGTACCATGGAATGCAAAGGGGGAGACAAAATGCAAGTGACCCACAGTTGGCTCCCACTCAAAATCATGCTGAGGCTGCCTAAGCCATTGCCTTAAATAAATTATATAAGAGCCAACTCTCACCCTTGTCAACTAGCTAGAAGCAGAAAGTCCTCTACAGGAGACCATGGAGCCCTGTAGACCAGCCACAGGAAAGAGGAACTTCAGCTCAGTGTATTACCCAGATCCCCCAACTCTGAAAGCAGAGAGCCCTGATGTACTGCACTAAGTGCCTTCTACCTGAACTAAGGGCCTGGACAGAAAGAGAAAAGCCTGAGTGTGCTATTAGCAGCCCTGCATCTTGGAGCCAATCTGAACTCACTGGGTCTTATCTTCTCCCTTATCCAATAGGGGACAACAAAACTATCTCTGTTTCTTAGCACTATTGTGATGAAAAAAAAAAATGTGAAAATGCCAGAGTATCATTTCCCAAACTATCTTCCATGGTAGACATTCCCTCCAGAAAAAAGGGGAAGGTGAGTCAGCAAAGTAACAATAAACTTATGAACCACTGATACTGTATCTCATTCTAAGAGTCCCAGGGAATATTAGTAGTGTCAAAGGCTCTGAGAAGTCCTGCATAGATAAACTGTCATAGTTTAGGCCAGACTAACATGACAGAGAAATGATGCTTGTGTCGTGTGTCATATTTTGGAAAATGCTGCTCTGTAGAGGGAAGAAATTTTTATGTAAAGACATAAAATGACAAAAGCTCTGAAATAAAACAAATGGAAACCTTCAATAAACACACTTTCGCATAATTTCAAGCTCTATTGGTTTAGATTTGCTACTTCAAAGGCATTACCAAGGTGAC